TTTTTTAACTATAAGTTAATATAAAAAATACATATATAATAATCATTTAATGTTATTAAAGAGAAAAAATGAATCTAAAACCAATTAAATAAGTGGCAATTAAAGGCAGTAGCAAAAAATTTAAAAAATTAAAATGATAAAGTTGTCAATAAAATTAAAAAAATTTAACATATTAACAATTTAGTACAAAAAGTTACTTAAGATAATTTTTTCAGTCCACTAATAGTTTAAAACCTAACCTTTATCTACTAGTTTCAAATTGTTCAACAAAAAATTTTATTGAACATCTAATTTGTAATAACTTTAAAATAAATTAATTTACCAAATATCTATTCTATAGCAATTTAAGCAAAATTGTTAACCGATGTCACAAAACACTACACTAAACTGGTGTTAAGAGGAAGATGGAGAAAAATGGAATATGGAAAAAAAAAAAAGCAGTATGGAGGCAAGGCCTATATTCTCTTTTCACCCAAAAGAATGTATGGTTCAAATTTCAAAATACGTTCTGTTATTAGGTTGGGCTTGTGCCTGGGCTTGCAGCAAACTCATAAGAGGCCTTTCTCTTTCTTCTCTTTATGCTCACAAACATGCAATTCAGAATTGACTTACTGGGAAAAGCAATTTTTTTTTCCATCAAATTCCAATTCCTGTTTCGAAAAGAAGGCTGGTTCACTGCTTTCGGTATCAGTACCATGGCATTGAACCTAAATGGTTTCAATTGCTTACATTTATCAGGATGGAAAATAGGATAGTAAGTTACAGGCGACAGTACCAGAATTACACATGTACATTATTAAGGTTTAAAGCATGGAAAAGCAAGACGAGAGAATTGAAAGAAAAGCATTTTTATTATGATTGAGATGTGTCTAAAAAGTTACATATAACAGCATTTATCTGGATACAATTAATGATGGGAGATCTGTTTAGGGATGTGACATGGCTGGCGATGATGCGGGTTAAGATGAATCACGGGAAGGAATGAATCAATAAAATGCCTTGCTTTCCTTTTCTTTTTAAATTTCTAAAATAACTAGAAATAAATTAAATACATGGGTGAGTTTGCAGGGAGGGTTTCGAATGAGCATTTTTGGTTTTGGTGTAAAATAGAGAGAAATGAAATGAGCACACCTCAATTGGCTATTATTGAAAATGAGAGAGAGAAAGGTCATTGGGCTTTCGTTAATGAATTTTTAAAATTTGTGTTTTAAAAAATATTTTATAATTTAAATTAATTAAGATAATAAAATAAAAAAATTTTAAAAATAATTTTTTAAATCTATATGTATTTTAAGTATAATTTTGTTGTGTTCACAAATTTTTTCTCCTTTTGAATTGTTTATTTCCTGTCTCTTATTCACATCTAACCTTGTCCATTATGAAAGAGAAATAAACAGCATTTAATATTGAAAAGAAATAGGGGTGTCTTCATTTAATTGTCTTATTTTTTATTGAAAAAAAATCATAACATTTTAATATTAAAAATATTAAGATATATTATCGCACTTAATAAATATATAAGATATAATGTAAATTTTAATTTTATTAAATGTGTGAAATCATCTAATTTTTCCTTTTCCCGTTTTTATTTTTAGAAAACAATAATCCTTCTCGTTCCAACATTACCCATGTTACTCCAACCTAAAAGGGGTTAGGCTTTAGAATGAATTGTAAAAGGGTAAATATATATTTTTTTAATATATAATGGATTATACAAGAGGGATAGTTCTCCTTTATTCTCAAATGTTCCTCCACTTGATGAAAGATTTAAAATTGAAATTGTTAATTTTTAATTTTAAATTATTAATCATTAAATTGCTCCATTAATACTTAATGATTGTGCTTTTAGTAGGTCCCGTATTGCCTTTGTAACGGGGCAAACTCTAAATTGGAACAGTGAAAAAAAAATTTGCCAATAAAAACCCTTTGACTTGTCAAATGGTTTATTGTCATCCCTATACTTCAAAAGAAGTCATGAAAATCCCTAAACTCTGTAAAAGAGGCCAACCACCGTCCCTCCGTCAAGCCTAACCCCTTTTAGGTTAGAGTAACATGGGTAATGTTGGAACGAAAAGCATTATTGTTTTCTAAAAATAAAAACGGGAAAAGGAAAACTGAGATGATTTCACACATTTAATAATAATCACATTTAATAATAAATAAAATAATAAAAAGATTTTTTTATCTTGTGTCCTTAAGACACAAGTTAAGACCATCTTTTTGCAATAAAAGTATACAAAAAAATATAAAAATAAATATTAATTTTAATGTTAATATTAGATAAATAAATTTTATTAGATAATTGATGAAATAAATGTTATTTTTTTAAATGTGAAGGAACAGAAATACTGAAGGAGATGACAGAGGAGCAGATCCGCAGATTAACTTAGGAGACTTGTCTTCTTCAATTTAAAAAAAAAAAAAAATCCAACAATAATATTGAACAAAATAGAGTACGGAGGCTCTGGAGTGACAGAGGGCAGCAGTGGCAAACGAAGAAGAAAATGAAAAAGATTAAATGGTTTGGAATCGGTTGTCAGTTTTAATGTTCAGTCTCTTGCTACGTGTCAAAAAACCACGAGAGAGTGGTGGAGCGAGTGTTGAAGGGCGACTGCCCTTAGCATTGCTCTAAATGGAATTCTTTCTTTTGCTTTTAGTGGAATTCTTTCTTCCTCTCCTTTTAGGTACTATTTGCATAGACCATTATGGTTTTACTATGAAAGTGCTTACATTGCTCTTCATTTCTTTACTCACCCCCATGCCTATAGCTTGAATCTAGGACATCTTATTAAAGTCGTCACTGGCTTGAATTAATTATATATACCATGATCATTGTTAATTAGATATGTAATTAACATATACATATTGTTTTGGTATTTTTTATCCAGGAATCATGATTCAGTTCTAAACTTCATTATTTCAGGAATATATTTGCATAATGGCGGGAGTCACGGCCACGGTCAGGGGTGCATTCGTGGGCTGGTTCTTGAATGGCATGCTATTGCCTTCAGTATCTAGACAACTGGGATATTGCGCAAACCTTCCAAAAAGTATGAATACACTCAGAAAGAGGGTGGAAGATCTAAACCAACTGAAAGATGATGTCGAGTTAAGGAAACTGACTATAAGGTCTGGAAAAATGATGAAGAGAGAAGTGGAGAACTGGCTTAGACGCGTAAAAACCATCAATAAACAAATGCAGGTTATTGAAAAAATGTTTCGTGCTGTTTCACCCATCTTTCGTGCTTGGTTCGGAGAATTTGTTCTTGAGAAAATTGATGAAGTTGAACAACTCTGTCGACAAGGAACCTTCTCAGTATGAGTTTAGGGACTAAACTCTTTTAAGGGGGAGAGGATGTAATACCCAAGAATTACTTACTTAAGATTTAAATAAATTATTTAAGCTCTAGAGAGTATATATGTGATAGGATTAAATATGAGGTTTAACTATATTGAGGTGAGGAGTTTAGGGACTAAGTTGTAAAAAGTCCTCAAGGACTAGCTAAGTTGAAAAAACATCACAAGGACTAAGTGGTAATATTTCCTTTTCGAAAGAAACCAAAACAGAATGGTTGGCAGTTTCATTTTTTGTTCTTTCTTTTCGGGGAAACAGGATCATCTCCTTCCTTTCGCCTGTAGGGGGACAAAGCTCTAGGGATCTGGCCATACTAGACTAAATCCAAGATAAATTGTTTTCTTAAGCTTGAAATTTTGATGATTAAAAGAATAATTGGGGTGGAATTTAAAAGTTTCTTTTAATATTTATTTATTACGCTCTCCTTTGTTTCATAAATTCTCACTAGAGGAGAAGACATTGTAGAGGCTGTTGTTCCTAAATATAGCTAGAGGTAATTAATTGTTTATGGTTGATGAAATATTTAGGAAATTTGGAATGAAGAGAATGGGTAAAAGCCTGGTTGGTGAGATTGATTTTACTGTAACAAATGAGTTTTGGAATTGATCTTAAATTGCGAATTTGGGTGGCATGGCATGAAGAATTTTCAAGGGGAAAATTATTTATTTTGGTGGTTAGTTTCTAATAGTGTGTGTTGGAAATGGTTGGGTTTGAAGAAGAGGACAACAATGGCATGGTTATAGAATAATCTGATGTAGATGCTTGATAAGTAAAGGATAAATTTTACTTGGTGATTGAATTATGTTTAGTTGATGGTCATTTAGGTTTCAAGTAGCTATGTGGTAAATTGCATTTTGAGAAATAGTTATTGAGGTAAGTTGCTGTACCCTCTAGTGTTTTTAAAGTAAATCACTAGATTTAAATGTGTTTTGTTCAGTTTTAATTTATTTGTCTATTATGTTTATTTATTTATGTATTTCTTAGAGAATGACTATTTTACTAAATATTTTTAATGATGGAATGAGATGATTTGTGGACCAAGCATACTATTTTTTATTTAAATTTGAGATGAGATTGTGGCCATGTGGATGTGGCTAATTTAAATTTGTTTTTATCCAATATTATTGAAATGATTATTTTGGAACAATTTCTTTTATTTGTCTTGAGTGTATGATTAAACTGTATAAGGGTTGTGTTATTGATATTGTGATAGACCCAAGATCTATGGATTGTGAATTATAGATTGTCGATTGTGTATTGTGGACTATGGATTGCGTATTGTGTATTGTGGATTGATGATTGAGTATCATTGATCATGGATTGTGGATTGTTGCACAGCCATAAGAGACGAAAAATGAAATATTCTGATTTTGAGGAAAGAAATGTACTATTATCGTCTCATTTTCAAAAAAATTCGATTTTAAATTTCTATGTTTTGTTGTGATGGATGGGTATACTACTTATGGAGTTCTTAAACTCACATTTTCAAATTTCATCTCATTTCAGGTAAAGAAGTATGAGTATTGGATTTTGCATGGGGATTGACAGATCGTTAGAATAAATTGGTAAGAATTTAGCAATAGCTAAATTAAAAGCTTATTTGGTTTTATGGAATAAGACGTTAATCACTTTATATTTTGATTAAGATATTTGATTTTGTTATTTGGAGACTATTAAGATTTGTTAATGAAATTATTTATTTTAAAGTTGCAAGACTACATTAAAACTTTAGAGGAGATTGTGTTAATATGTAGGAAGATGACCTTACACATTTATGGGGTTAACCTATAGATGTGTGGCGTTTGTTATGCTTAAACCTATGAGTTGGGGTGTGGCAGTATGCCCGATGCTGCTTTGTTGGGAAACTTTTTTGGTTCTCTTACCGTTGCCCAAATAGGTTTGCCCAAGTTTGACTTTAGACTGTTGCAGGTTTGTTTTCGAAAATGCCACTTTATATCGTCACAAATAGCTCTGATTTGGGTCATGAACCCAGTGCTTAGGTTCGCAACGAACCCAGCTCTAATTTGGGTTGTGAACCTAGCTCTGATTTGACAAAGGTAAAAGGATAAAAAGGAGATCAAAGGACAAAGAAGAGAAGACAGAATGGGGAAGAAGATAGGGGCAAATATGTAATTATAATATAGTACTCTTAATCACAAAATAATTTTAAAATAATTATAATGATAATTATGTAATTAAATAATTTTTAAGGTTATATTATATACAAAATTTTATCACGTCATCAATTTTTACCAGATAGATTTTTTCAAGTAGTTAAAGTAAAGAAACAAATAAATTTTTTTATTAATTAACATATCACATCAATCAAAACTTAATAAAAGAATTAAAAAATAATCGGATTACAAATTTTAAATATCAAAAATAAAAAATTCAGGCTAAAAAAGAGTTTTTTTTTATAGTAGGTAGACCAAAAAAAGTATTTAACCTTTAAAAATTCCATCCCTCTCTCTATTGTTGAAACTTGAAGGAAAGAGGGGAGTAGAGAAAGAAAGTGATTAGCAAAAGAAAGAACGAAAGAAAGAGATCAAGATATGGCAGTCCAATTACCAGCAAAACAGATTCGAAGATCAATTGCGATCACCTCTGGGGAAGAAGGAAATGACAAAGAGTAAAGTAAGGACAACATGGGAAATAACAGTTTGCGGGACCCATGGTTTTGCGCAATGTTTTGAAACCGATCTCAAGTTCTAAGTTTAAACGTACAGGATACGTGGCGAAAGCAGTAAGAGACTGACAGAGCGATTGCTGAAAGGGCGACTGCCCTAAGCGGGCCTCTTAACAATATTAATTTTTTTTTAAAACATGGAGAATTATAAAGATATAAGAAATTTATTAAATTGTTGATAGGAATCGAATTTTTGATTAATTTAACTGAAATAATAAGATTTAAAAATGAAACATTAAATTTTAAAGCTCACTTCAACAATATTAATAAATTCAGATTACCACGATATAAAATAACATGTGAAGGCCTGCGCTCTTCATAACATTAATATATTGGTCGTACACAAGCACATATAGCCGTACATACATATGATATAACAGCTAGCAAAAGAGCACCGACAACCGCAACCGCATAGAAGGTTAGAAGCAACACGATACTCTAAAGCAGCCGCAGCACACTTATACTATAGGATTAGTACACCAGTACATAAAAGAAAATGCACACCCCTCGCCCTTATTTAGGTAATTTCGAATCCGTTGGCACGAACTAAAGGATTCAAACATACAAGTTTTTAAACTATTTTAACCCGTACTCCTGAAGGAAGAGTTGCATATTAAGGTCCATCTGGAAGGGTGACAAACACGGCCTCAACAATTGGGAAATTGTAGTTGCCGATTGTAACAGTTGACATGCATTCATTCCATCTATCCTGAAAATGGGCGACAGGATATTTCATGTTGTCCATCCGCCCTTTGGCAACATCAAACGTGGGGTTGTCGTAATGATTAACTTGTCGTGCCTCTGCATAGACCTATACTCGAAACGAATAACTACGTCAATGTGTGTATATATTTTAGGATTGTTTTTAACTAAATAAATTTAATTAAATAATTTATAAATTATAAGTTAATTTTTATTTCTTAATAAAAATTTATAATAAAAAAATATATATTAATTACACTTAAAAAAATCTTATTTTTGTTTATTATATTTCTTTAATTATTAAAAAATAAAATTTAACTATTATTTTAACAAAAAATTGTCTCACCTGTGCTATAAGAGTGTAGGTTAAGAAAGTTTTAAATGCATCTTTCATGCATTAATTTACATAGAATAATAAAAAAATTAGCATTAATTTTAACATCTGACATATAGATTTTTTTTATTGGAGAATTGGTAAAATTAATATCAACTTTTTTTGGTACATTTTATTATGAACTATACAAAAAGGGATAGTTCTCTCCTATTCTTAAATTCCTTCTCACTCGATTTAAGACTCAAATTTGAGATCTCCAACTTGGAATCTCAAACTCTTAAATGTTGAGCCACACCATTGGAGTAAAATTAATATTACTTTTTAGTTTTACTATGTGTATTAATGATAAAAATATACAATAAATATAACCTTATCCTCTGCTCTAAGGGTATAAGATAGAAAAACACTTTTAACAACTATCTAATTCCAACTATCTTATTCAAATTATACATGTGATATTATTGATAAAATAAAATTAATTTTTTTATTTTTATACAAACTAATAATAAAAAATAAATTTTTTAACATACATTTGGACCTCTTTTATATTAATTTGTGTTGAAAAATATAAAAATTGGTATCAATTTCAACATCATAGATAGTTACTGGGATGAATTTAATGAGATAATTGTTGAAATTGATATCAATTTTTATTTTTTATGATAATTAATAAAAAAAAAAAGATGCAATAAGGAAAACCCACAGAAGAAAACAATAAATACATAACTAAAACCCATATATGTAGATTAATTGTAGAGCTTTAGATTTAATTACAGGAGTTTTTCTATACCTTAAAATATATGTTGAAAATGTATTATATATTTTTATAATTAATTTGTATAAAAAAATAAATATAAAGTTTAATTTTATTCATTAACTAATAAAAATTATTTGCGTAATAATAGTATTAAAATAAATATTAATTTTAATATATTTTTATTTAAATTAATTATAAAATAATATATTTAGTTCACCTTGTGAGAACAAAACTTGCCGCTAATGTTGTCCCAAGCCAGCATCCAGTCACGTTCAACTTCATCCTCATTCTTGCCGCGGTACACTACAGCCCCGCTGGAACGAGGTGACGTGGTTCTACTGCTGACATGGACCAAGACACCCCACTGGCCATTTTCGATCATTTCTGGATATTCAGATCCGAATTGCCCCTCCCAATTTTTGCTGTGACTAAAGTTGATGGTGTCCCCAGTTGCGTTGTAGATCAGGCAGGACGTTGAGACAGAGTTCTCCCGCCGTTCCTTCAACTGCTCCACATGCTTCCTAGCGTCAACCTCCTTGTTCTCTGAATTTTTCAAAAACATAGCCGCCTGCGCTTTATCCCTTTTGCTTATCTTTCCGGGAAACTCTAGCATGCTCTTGCAAGTTTCCACTACTGCAGGAATCCTATATTCAGACCGAACAATCGGTCCGGATATATTACAAATCGGTCTGAACATATATATACGGACCGATATTGGTCCTTATAGTTGATCTGAAAAAACCTGGTACGAATAAGTGTAATATACAGACCGACGTATAATCGGTCCGTATATATTTTCTATCCGGACCGAAATCGGTCCGGATATTTCAGTAAGAAATATAAATAATTATTGAGAAATTGAAATAAGCGGACCGAAATTGGTCCCAAAAAAATAATATAATAAAATAATAATATATATACGAACCGATAACGGTCTGTAACTGGGGCGGAAAGAGGCATCACAAATATATACAGACTGGGATCGGTCTAAATATTGAGGACCCAGCTACAACTTTTAAAACTTGCAACTATATCCAGACCGGTATCGGTCCGAATATTGTGGACTTGCATGTAACTTTTAAAAGTTCCATCTCCTAACAGGCGTCATTCTCAAACTATGTCCAGACCGTTTTCGGTCCGAACATAGTGGACTTACATGTAACTTTTAAAAGTTTCGTCTCCCAACAGGCGTCATTCTCAAACTATGTCCAGACCGTTTTCGGTCCGAACATAGTGGACTTACATGTAACTTTTAAAAGTTTCGTCCCCCAACAAGCGTCATTCTCAAACTATATCCAGACCGTTTTCGGTCCGAACATACTGGACTTGCTTGTAACTTTTAAAAGTTTCATCTCCCAACAGGCGTCATTCTAATATATCTTTGAAGAACAAAAAAAATAAAAATAGTAAAAAATAAACAAAACAGATTTATTTTATTTAATAATTACACAATATTACCAAATAAT